CTCTCTCTCTCTCTCTCTCTCTCTCTCTCTCTCTCTCTCTCTCTCTCTCTCTCTCCACACACACACACACCACAGAGTAGAGAGAGAGAGGCATGTTTATGAAGAACATGCTAAGTAATTTTCCAAACACATGAGAGAACAGCAGACCCAACCCAGGGCTCCTGTCCGCACACGCGAGGTGGTCAGAGTCGAGTCTCAGACAAAAATGACTGGATTGTATTGATGTGACACAAATGAGGCTCCAAGCAGATGGAAGTGCCTGCATTGCTTTCTGTGCTCCTGACACTGGATAACGAAGCACCATCAGGCTTTCCAAAGGGGGGGGGGAGAAAGGTAGCACGCTGTCCTGATGATTTATTATTTGATCAGATTCACTGACTTTATCTGATCAAATTATGACAGCCCTGTTCAGAGGCTCCTGTCATTGAGGAGGCCCTGAAGGTGAAGAGAATGCTGCCCAGTGTTTTCTCTTCATCAGTCCTTGAAGCCCGAGATCAAAAGGGCTGTGCTTGAAGAGCAGAGGTGTTGAAACCCACAGCTCCTAGGGTCTCCGTTCTCCAGTGAGATAACCACACGTGGGCGAGTGGAATGATCTTTCAGAGGGCGGGATTTGGAGCACTTCAGCACCTCGGAGTAGCTTTCCAAGGCCATCTTGGCCCCACCATCCCTCCTTCCCTAGGGTAGAACTCAGTTTCTGTGAGTTTACTGTTCAGGGCTCTTCCCAAGAGAATTTCCCGGCCTTTAGTCTAAGTACAGATTGGTTCAGCAGACGCTGTAGCTACCGCTTGTGCCTCGGCTACAATAAAATGTAGTTAAATTTCAATGGAGAGGAAAACTCACGTGTGAAGTTATGTCATCACCAATTTTAACCTCTATACATCCGTCCTCAAAAATTTTCAAACTATCCTGCCCCAATTTCTATTGTCAACCTCTTTTCCACTCCTCCTTTTCACACTCCCTGTATAAGCCTCACGTTTTCCCATATGTGTAACTTTGCACATTCTTTTCTTGAAACTCTCAAGAAGTGCTACATCTTGGTGCTTCATCCATGAGAAGAAGCCACACCTTGATAAAACTGTACACAGTAAATATTTTAACACTAGCATAGTTGAGCCGTTGTGGTGCTCAATTGTAACGTTAGGATGTGCGCCTGCATTTGTGGCCAGAGACGGAGACCTGACAGCCACACCTCAGAGATCCCACCCTGCTGTCCATGAGGACCCAGAATGCTTCGTCAGTGATTCCACTAACGAAAATGATGCAGGGGCCGCTTGAAGAGTCACTTCTCTGTGAACACTCTCTCTTTTGCACATTAGATTTCTGCCAAAAGAGTCACAAGAAAACTTCTTTTTCCAGAATGAAAATGCCATTTTTATACTAATTCCTGGAAGTTCCTTTCCAGAAACATCAGAAGTCAGCCTTTCCTGTCTTTTTCCTTCCTATCTGGGTTGAAAGTGTCCCGGAGGAAGATAGCTTAATGTGAGCTCAGGAAACTGGTATTAATCGCTTTTTGAGAAAATGCAGGAATCCCAAGAACATGCTGTCCCTTGCATCCTGCCTCTGCCAGTACTGGACTTAAGTGAACAATTGTTTATGAAAAGGGCAGGTTGAGGATGAAAATATTGCTTTTGCAAAACTCAGGAAACTGTCAGGGTCTGTGGACTGTGCTCTTCCAACTGGAGAATCCTGTATTTGTAATAAATTCCTTTTGCTCTGGATGAGTTCTGCATTTTCAATGAGGTGAACTTGGCAACATTCTAGTTGATTTTAATAAAAATAGCTGCTTTGAGGACAGGGAGCCGAGGTTGCCAAAGTTACAGCTGCCGTGCACAATTACTCTCCCACCTCCTTCAGGGCTACTTAGAACCAGTAAGCAAATTAAGTGTATCGATTGCAATTTTGTTGGACTAACCCCGCTTATGTTTTTTTCTCGAGGAATAAACCTGCTTCCTCTTAGTATGTGTCTGTTCAGAGCGCTCTCTTTTCTTTTCAGCCATAATACAAAGACAACATCATGGCTGGATCCACGACTTGCGAAAAAGGCTAAACCTCCAGAGGAGTGCAAAGAGAATGGTAGGTCAAGTTCTTATGTTTCAGCGCCGCGCTTTGAAAATGTTTGCGCTTCTTAAAAGAAGGGCTCGCCTAAAAGAGCAATCCTGCGCTTGCAGCCATGTCGGAGAAGCAATATGTAGTGCTCAGTTAGGAGAGCGGATGAAGTCGGCTCTCGGCAGGGCCATGTGGGTTTGCTTTTTCTCCCGGAGGAGACCGTGTTGAGAGTCACATCTCGGCCGTCTCTGTTGGTCCTTTTGGACTCCTGGCCTGACTTTCCCCACCTCTAAGGACTTTGGTTCGCAGTGTGTCTCTCTGACGACTCTGCTCTTTTAGCTGGAGGCAGATATAATGCACAGAGCAACACCGATGTGAAGCTATAAATGATCTGTAGGTCTGTGTGCAGCGACGTAGCATTCTGCCAGGTCCTAAGGAACCAGTTCTCGAAAGACGTGTTATTTGTATTCAAACATCTAAATACAATAAGTAATCGCATGGATGCTGGGATCACACTTACTGTTTTCCAGCTCTCAGTATAAATATATAGACTTGCTTAGAAATGTACTGCTTTCACGCATGGCAAGAATTTTTAAAACTAATAGGACTGGAAGACTGCGAGTCTTGTGTGTAATGAGTAAATGCAAAGAGGCAAAGTCTGTAACTGATGATACTTGTAGTTTTTAAAAACATCGAGTGCAATATTGTGAGTGCTTGTAATTCAGTTAGAATGATAAATAGCAGACTCTCCGGATGATATATTATTTGCACAGCCTTTATCTGATCAAATTTTCTTCTGAGGCATCGATCATTGAGGAGCTCTTAGAGGTGGCAAGAGCTATGGAGGATATTTAAACTTTTTAAAAAGTTTTCAAAAAAATAAATTTTTGAAAAGTCTCTAATTCACTTTAACAGCAATCCTGGCTTTCTCAAATAATGTTACACTTTTCTGTAACACTAGGTGACTCTTCACAGGCTAGGTATACTACTAGTTAAAAATTCTAAAATGGCAATTTTTATGTGCATCTAATGCATAAAACGGAGGCATATATTTAGCTTTATATTCGCTCCAACTATGTCCCTCCTGTGTCATACATACTGTCACTGTATGTGGCTGAATCTCATGAGCTGTTACAGAAGCTGGACTTTTGAACACAATTAGGTCACATCTCATTGACACCAATAACACATGTTGCAAATTATGATAGGTTGTAAATTAAAGTGACCTGCTCCTGTATAGGTACAACAATTTACTTATACCACAGGTGTTACACCTTAGTATATCCCAATTAAAATGAGTTCAATAATTTTATAGTTCTGTGACATAATGAACTTCTCAGCTGGCTTGCTCCTTTGAGTTCTTTACATTTTTAAAAAGCTATTACTCAAGTTTTAAAATCTTAGGAGAGATGCAAGGAAAACATATTGTGTAATGATAATGTTTGGATGTGGCTGGTTTTCTGCACGTCTGCATTGTGAGTCTTCTCAGGATAGCAGAGGTCTAGAATATGACGTCAGTCCCCTGAAAACCGATTGCAAGAAAATCATTCATGGGTCACAACTGGCCCATTACTACTTGCTTCACTTTCTGCAAGAAAATTATAGCTCACAGGTTTCATTCCATATGTTAATGCGGTGTTAAACAGTAAACTGGAGCAGTGGAATAGTGATGTTTTTTCTGAACATACTTCAAGTTGGATTGCCAAGGAGGATGCTCTGAGATAACAGTGCTCCTTGGGTATTGTTTTCCTTTCCTTTAAAGAACGTGGTTGGCCGTTGCTTAAGATGCTGAGTGGTGGTGGATCGCTGAGGATTCTGCTAGCTCAGTTAGCCTGTATCACCCATTCAGTGGCTCAGGCCCTCAGCCAGTGAACTAATTTTCTGAGTGCTGGAAAGTGTGTAAAACATAAATATACAGCTACTTTCTCTTAGTTCAATGAGAAGAAAGTTTTGAACCAATACTGTTTAGACAAGATATCATATCTGCATCTTGTACTATGAATAACTACTACGAAGACAACAATATGCAGTGTATTAATTATTGTACCTGTCCTACTAGCCTGTTTTGAAACTGTCTCATTGCTACTTCTTTCTCAATAAAATTAATATAAAAAATAATAAAATAAAATAAAAGTCGTGATCGTTCCAGATGATGATCTCCTTCTGTAGCAAATCTTGACCATCCAGTTCAAATAGGACGATCACCCTCATCAGATTTGAACTGAGCCCGTGGGAGGTTGGTTTGAACTCTGCAAGACACAGTGTAGTGCTAATTTGCTCCTGTCTTCGGGGCCTTCACCTGCCAGAGATTTCAACTACAAGGTTGGCAGACATCTGCGAAGAGTCAGGGAATAAATGTTTTAGGGCTTGCAGGTTCTCCCTTCTCCTTGCGATGACGCATTGTGCAGAAACAGCCAAAGCCAGTATACAAAGGTCACGGATGTGTTCCAATAAACTTTTATGGATGGACATAGATGTTGAAGTTTATATACCTCCACATAACAAAATATTGTCCTTTGATTGTTTTTCTCACCCACTTAAAAGTGCATAAACTGTTGACCTTGGAGGCTACAAACTAGAGGTATGCCGAAGCCACACGACAGACTCTAGCTACGATGCTTATGTGGGGCCTTCACCTGGTGGGTCTTGAACACCAGTATTTTTAAATATTGTTCTTTTCAGGATTGTACAACCACAAGATATCTACAGTGCTTTGAGACTTAACTTAGCTTTCTTGCCTGTAGGCCCTGCAGTTTCAGAACTTGACAAATGTCAAATGATAATTGACCAAGTGCTTGAGAGCCCAAGTGAATGATTTTTCAAGATTCCCTTAAAGAATCAGCTCTTTGCTAGTTCCTCTGACCTCTAGAAGAGGCCCCTTGCCAGGCCAAGTTTGGACTATAAGTGCTAAGACTCCTAAATCAACAGCAGCTGCAAAACTCCTTCCATGACTTCTCCGGGGCTCCCTTCTCCTCAGAAGCTCAGAGCTTCTAGATCTTTTTGCCTCAGTGGTTATTAGATCCTTTAAACTGCTTATTTTTAATATTTTACCTAGATTTACTTTTTTAATTGTATTTTTAGGGAAGGGTCTATAGGGTGTCCAGGGTCTCACTACTAGATCAAACTCATAGTGATCCGTCTGTTTACAGCCTCCCAAGAGCTGGGATTACAGGCATGCACCACCACGCCCAGTCTCAATTGCCATCTCAGCACACCCCAGGGGTGGGGCCAGCATAGCAGGCCTGGGGATCAAACCCCCAGCCCCTGTGCCTGCTTGCAGGTGCTTTAATCCATGGAGCTAGTTGGCTGTTCCTGTAGATTTTCTGCTTTCTCATTGGGTTTCAGGCTACTGACTCCATTCTACCCAGAATGGAAATTTTAATCCATATCTGTATTTTTAAATTGCATGTCTCAAACCTTACTAAGTATGCATATCATATATGTGCATATGTAATACATTATTTTCCTAATTTTTTTTGGTGGTACCAGGGATCGAACTTAGGACCTTGCACTTGCCAGGCAAGCACTTATTCCACTGATCTATCTCCCTGCCCCCCCAATGATGTTGATTATTGAAATCCTAATGTTAATTCCCCGAGGTTGTCACCAGTTGTACCTGTGTACATACCATGTGTGAATGTATATCTTTGTGTGTGTGTGTGTGTGTGTGTGTGTGTGTGTGTGTGTAGGAAGAGGAAAAGGAGGATACAGACATGGACCTATAAATGTGTGCATCTGCAGTGCTTTATACAGGTACATAATTTGGGATAAATTATAAGAGGGAGCCAAGAAAGATGGGAAGGGATACCAAGGAATTGAAATTATCCTGAGGAAGGAAAACACTAGCAAATATTTCCCCTTGATATCACACAGTTAAAGAGTAAAGATGGCTTCGTTCAAATACATGTCGAACTATTCACACAAAAGCATTCATTTTGCCTTTTTATTTGAGGGACAACACAACCACTAAATATAAAAGCACACACTTCCTTCTTTGGCAGTATGGTTGAAAATACCAGAGTCATGGTGTTTTGTGCATTTGTCATAGCACCAGCCTAGAAGGCAGAAAAACATCCCCACCTACTATGCAATTCCAATATTAGACTTTGGCGGGGGGTGCTGTTCAGCAAGCCAATGTAGACTTTCTTAAAATGCCTTTGAAATAGCAATTAGCTAATAAATAACACAGGCAAAGTTGGCTGGAGGGTAAAGCCCCATCCGGCTGTCCCCTCAGAATCAAGGGTATGGGAATTCTCCTCAGCTATTCCCAAGCATAAGCATACTGTGGTGACCCCTCCCCCAAGAATCACTGAGTCAGCCTGATGGGAACAGTCTCCTCTTAAGGTTCAAATATGATTAAATTCAGTAAGTCCACACCATTAATGAGAGGAAAAGAAACCATAGGATTTGGAGTCAGGAAAAACTGTTCCCAAGCCATAGCTATAGGCTCATCAGCAGGTACTTAATCTCCAGGAGCCTGGGTTTTTCTACCTGTAAAGTAGGAATCCTGTGTTTCATGCAGGTCTAGCTCATATACAGGAAGTTCTGTCTTTTTGCACCATTTATTCTAAAGAACAATTGCATGTTCCCCTTCCTTCAGGTGGTCCTCTGAGCCAGCAGCAGAGCCTTCTAGAAGATGAGGGGGCAAAGTGAGAGGAGTTGGCCAGCCTAGCGGCTTTGAGCTACTCTCAGGTGTCTTGGAAAGATGGAAATGAACAAATCCACCCAGGCTAAAATTACCCATCTGGCTCATGCTAGCTTGATATTAATAGATCAGGGGTTTCGCCTTACGTTCTGTTGAACTGGCTCTAACTTCTCATGAAGTTATAATTACATCTGTAAGAACTGACTGGGTGGCTTCATTTCTCTACTTAGTATCTATGAAGTATAAGTGAGTTTCTTACATTACTACAGAAAAAATTCAGATAATCTTAACCTACTTTCCTACATGAGAACACATTTCAACTGACATGGACTACAGCTGTGTGCTATTATTTAACCTATCTTTTTTTTTAAAAGTCTCCAAA